TCTGGCTACTAGTTCGTGAGTAACGTCTCGGGGATTGATTCCACGTCCTTCCACGTGAAATTAGAGCTGCCATTGTCACGTTTTTTATTAGTCGATGTCAAGGAAAGTTCATGAACGAAACTAATCTCCTATCTTTGCGTTCACTTTGCATGAATAGCTAACCAGTTCTCCGTTTCTCGAATGAAGGAGCGTCTCTGTAGAATTTCTCTCTGCATGCATGGGATTCTTACATGTCTCCGAAAACTTTAGAACACTTATGTGGAACATTTCATGATGAATACAAAAGCTGCGAACTTCTCGTATGCTGGAGGAGGGCCAAGACACATTATTTAAATCAGGGATACTTGAAACCTTCTACGTAGTTAAAATCCGTTCAAATCCCTACCTGAGATCGGCTTTCGTGACTGGAGTTTTTGTGTTTATCCTCAGGCCTTCCAGAAAAATAATTGTGTCATGTATTCTCATTCGACGCTTTTAAACCTATGTAGTTGATATAGCATCGTAAAGTAGTCGAATCCCCAGTCAGTATCCGTCAATCTGCTCTGACTACTTTCACTCTGTAATGAAGTATGGAATGAAACAGTAAAAGTCTATTTACTTTCCAGTTAAATAATTAAAATAATGGCTGACGCAATGCCAATAAATTCGTGTAGATGCCCATTTAAGAAACTAAAAATTGTATCTCTTGTGAATACATATTTTTATTAATGAACTTCGTTGTAAATGTCCTGGAACTTTTTAAGACAAATTCATCTATATGTATTGTTAACACAAGGATTAAGAATCATCTTCTTAGGCCATATGGCAGTCTTGCATATTTTAAGAAATGTGCTTACTATACTGGAATTAAAATCTTTAAGTCTTCCACATTGTTTTAGAACCATTTCGATTAAAGAGAGATATTTAAAGTAGCATTAAAAACACGCACAAATATACACATCTTGTATTTTGTTGATGAATTTCTGCAGTTTATAAAGCATCTATGATCATTTTAGAAGTTATTTTAATAACATAGTAAAAATCATCATTAACGTATCTGCTACATAGCAATGAATTTAGTTTAAAAATCTATTATTTTTGTGTTAAGTTTTATCGTTTGTGAAGCCAAATTAACATTACAAATTGTTCTCGTCGGTATGTTTTGTACTTTGACTTATTACACAGCTCTTAGTCTGAAATTTAATTTTACGAAATTTATCGAAGTCAGGTCGTTATGAGAAAAGTAGAACGGCATTATAGTGTCACGTAAGATATGAATTTAATTAAGATCTATAAATTTTTTTAAAGTGATGTATATTCTAGAAAATACAGGGAAGAATAATTTTTGACTGCAATTTGATGTCTGTAGGGTCAGCCACAAAGTTTGCAATGACTTTTGTGCTTGATATGAATGAAAATAAAAGTAAATGTACAAAATAACAAAGGGATGGGTTTACTTGAAATTTAATATTCACGATATTGTGTGATCAAAGGCGACGTCATACGCATTTCACTTCAATTTATGTCCTCCAAGTGAACACACGATACTTCAGACCTGAAGATAGAGGTAGTATGTAAGAAACGTTGGAATCTATTTACAAGTCCACACGGCCTTACAACCCAGAATCACTTTCTCCCACCACGACTGATTTGAGCTATCCCAGCTTCCCTTTCAGTAAAATAGGCTATGGCTTTTTTTTAAAATGATAGTTGACGTCACACAAAAACAGGGCGGTATCGAATTTCCAAAAATGGCGAGCTGCAAACTCGTTCCAGCCCCAGTAGTTACGCAACCTCGCCTTGCCATCCCACTATCGAAATACGTAGCTCTTCGATCAGAAATGAATATCGATTTCTTCCCCAACCATCGATATATCGTTATACTACGTTGCAGTAACTTGGAACGCTACATTCTGCGTCATATGTACCTTCGTTTCTGCCGGCTTTCTTGTTTGTAGTGGTACGCCCCAGAATCGAAGCGAGATAAATACAATAATTTTAATTTAATTTAATTTTATGTGAAACTTTTAGACATTTAGTAAGAGGAAAGTAAGTGGCGGTTGTCTGAAACACAAAACGCGCCAGAGACAGACAATAACAACAAAGAATTACATATCTCTATAGATATATGAATTAAAATAAGTGCTACCAACATAGCAATAACTCTGTTAAATTCGAAAATTAGTCTGCGAATAGGTGGAAACATTTCTTCATTTAACTATTAAGGATTAATAATATTAATTATTGTTTTTTCTTGTATTTCACATTTTACACACTCCTTTTACTGTCCATTCACTTGAGCAACTTGTTTCGGTTCAATGTGGCCATCATCAGGTTTAGTTCCTTGCTTTTATGTTATTGCGTTAAGGACCGTATTATCTCCTCCCTTTGTCTAGAAATAATTATAAAAGAAAAATTAAAACGATTTAAATTAGTTAAAACGGTTAGAAAATTAAAATGCCAAGCTTTTCCCCCCCCCACAGATCGGTGAGTCCCGGTGTCGTATGTGTTGTGATGGGTCGTTGTATAATGTTTTTCAAGGAATGGACAGTGAACATTGTGTGGGAAATGTGACATAGAAATAGCCATAACGCACTGGGATGCTACGCTACAGACCGGACTCGTGGTTAGCAGACTGAAGACTACAGAACACAGCTGCGCCAGTAATAGGGAACTTAAGTTTCATTGAAAATTGAATTACTGTTGATTCAAGTATGATTAAGAACCAATTGAATAAAAATTTTCTTGGATATTATCCATCGTCTAGTAAATATAAAACGTAAAACGACGATTCGGAGATGGGACTCTATCTCCGTCTTCAGGTTCCTACCTCATCTCCGAAACGTCGTTTTACGTTTTATATTTCCTAGACGATGGATAATCTCATTATATTTACTAGACGATGGATAATATCCAAGAAAATTTTTATTCAATGAGTAAGAACGTTGTGTTCTGAGATCCACAAACGTATTTATTCTGTCTGAAATCGGGAGGAACTACCATAGCAGTGGAAGGGGAAAAAGTAGGAGAATCACGCATGACGTAACAATACTGTCACTTTTGCCAGAATATGACTTTTACCTTTGCGATGGCGCCTGTGACGTCAGCTGTTTCGAGGCAATGACCTTTGCATGGGCAGTTTGTCTGGCGCCTGTCTGGACGGTCGGTTACGTCATCTCGGGGAATTCCCTGTGTGTTATTGCGCTGTCAGTGGATTCCCCGGGCAACCAAAATAACATGGGGATTCCCCATCCAGTCACTTACGCTATCCGAAACGCAAGTAAGCTCCATGAAACTCTGTTATTGTTAGATTTTTACGAGAATTGGAACATGTAATTTCATGGAAGTCCATCCTAATGTTTTTAAGTAATATGTACGGACGGATAGTGGGAAACTGACAGGCGCATTTTTTTGTAGCTTTTAGTTGCAGACTAGCAGCGATTAACGAGGAATGTCATTCTCAAAACGCTGTAATAATATCTGAATAGTTAAATATTTTTCTATTGAATTTCCTCTTGATATTGGTCTAAATATGTAGGTGCTTTATCGCTATTGATTTTTAACTTCGCTTTAGAGTACTCTATTAGGAAGACCCACAAACATCAGAGGGGATTGTAATTAAATTAAACATAAGATTACAGTCTGTTCTGTCTGTGATGTTATTTTTAGGCGAAGACATAGATGCCATTAAGAAGAACACATACTTTTTTTACACTCTTGTAAAGAGGATTGTCTAGAAACAAACGCAGAGAAAATAAAGTAACGTTACCTACTTTGTAAATTTAAATATCAGAATTCAGTGCAGGGTCATCACATAAATATGGCTGATAAATCTTTCGAAAATGTGTCAGAATTCAAAATTATATTCATGACGAAATGAAGACCAGATTAAATTCTAGAAATGATAGTTGCCATTCAGTTCAGAATTGTTTGAATTTTTTCCTTTAAACACGCTAATGAACCTTCAGGTTTTAAGAAAGACGGGACTTTTTTTTTTACGAATTTAACATTTGCCAGCATCTCAGGAAATATCCTGTTGAATGACGTTTAGAGTAATATTAACAGTAATCAGTGCTCGAAATGGAAAATTTGAAGTGCCTATGTAGTTTTTACGCTCAAATAGGTTCTACCTACATCTATGTAACTACTGTAAACATTTCTGGGTCACGTGGACAAAAAACGATTAAAATAAAAATAGGATACTGGGATTTACTCTTGTGGAAATTTCTCTCTTTTAAAACTTCAGCCATTAGGATAGTAGATACGTAAAAATTATTTAACAGACATGAAAATGTGTCGAATATTCTCCAGTATTACTTGTTTTTTTATCCATACGTGAAAATGCTGGTAAATTAGACACGGTAATGAACATTGTGGTCGAGTGGTTAGCACTCTTGCTTCCTGTTCGGTATCAGCATGGAGATGGGCTGCCCCGACTGGTGGTTTTAGTAGTTTTTCTCAGTCCCTCCAAGCACGTTACAGGGTAGAACCATACATAAGGTGTGAACCGCGTCTTTGTGTTAAACGTTCCAATTAATTATTTATTAGTTATACCATTCATTGGTGTATAGTCTAAACTAATAATAGGGTTGTTAAATAAACAAGAAATAAATAAAATATTCGACAATAATCCATTTTTGAGAAAATTTACAAAGTTTGATTTGGGCTTCGTATGAAGTAGTTGGCGTGTTTGATACAAATCAGAATGAAATTTTCTTAATAATGATTTGCGTGACAGTCTTCTGCCTCGTGCATTCATTTTATACACTTTGTGCAAAATATGTGTGATTTAATTTACAAAATGTCATGTGTATTGAGCATACTTTAATGTCCAGCACAAATATATCATAATCAGTTCACACAGGCTTCTAGGAAGTCATCAACTACGCAGAGTCATGGATTGGTATTTTATTGTTTTATTTTATAAACTGTAGGTGCCATTGAAGGTGATAGTGGTTCGTATTATCTAAAAACAGTGGTGATTAGATCAGTGTTACAACAGCCATCTATTTTTATTTCAGATGGTTTCATACCAATATCTCGGGCATCGATGCAGAGATTCTCCTACTGAATCGTGGATTCGATGGCAGTTTCCTTGCTCGACCGAGTCGGAGTAACCCTGGGGATTTTACGTTGTCTGTCAGGTAAGGATTTTTTTTTTTTTTGGATATCCACATTTTCTTATCACTTTGTCACTAGTCAACCACGGACGTAATTATGTCACAGGCCTGGACATGTAATATTTTTGTTGTTTTTTTAGCAATGACATTTGAAAGAAAACTGGTTTTTGAACACAGTATACATTCAGTTTTAAAGATACGAGGTGCGATCGGAAGGTTTCCAGACTGCGCGTATAAAAACCCGTACACTTATCTCAGGTATTAAATTCATCCATCACCCTCGAAGTAGTTCCCCTGGGAGTGAACACAACGATCCCAGCGCCGCTGCCAAGCCTGGAAGCATCCCTGGAAATCTTTCCAGCATCTCAGGAAATATCCTGTTGAATGACGTTTAGAGTAATATTAACAGTAATCAGTGCTCGAAATGGAAAATTTGAAGTGCCTATGTAGTTTTTACGCTCAAATAGGTTCTACCTACATCTATGTAACTACTGTAAACATTTCTGGGTCACGTGGACAAAAAACGATTAAAATAAAAATAGGATACTGGGATTTACTCTTGTGGAAATTTCTCTCTTTTAAAACTTCAGCCATTAGGATAGTAGATACGTAAAAATTATTTAACAGACATGAAAATGTGTCGAATATTCTCCAGTATTACTTGTTTTTTTATCCATACGTGAAAATGCTGGTAAATTAGACACGGTAATGAACATTGTGGTCGAGTGGTTAGCACTCTTGCTTCCTGTTCGGTATCAGCATGGAGATGGGCTGCCCCGACTGGTGGTTTTAGTAGTTTTTCTCAGTCCCTCCAAGCACGTTACAGGGTAGAACCATACATAAGGTGTGAACCGCGTCTTTGTGTTAAACGTTCCAATTAATTATTTATTAGTTATACCATTCATTGGTGTATAGTCTAAACTAATAATAGGGTTGTTAAATAAACAAGAAATAAATAAAATATTCGACAATAATCCATTTTTGAGAAAATTTACAAAGTTTGATTTGGGCTTCGTATGAAGTAGTTGGCGTGTTTGATACAAATCAGAATGAAATTTTCTTAATAATGATTTGCGTGACAGTCTTCTGCCTCGTGCATTCATTTTATACACTTTGTGCAAAATATGTGTGATTTAATTTACAAAATGTCATGTGTATTGAGCATACTTTAATGTCCAGCACAAATATATCATAATCAGTTCACACAGGCTTCTAGGAAGTCATCAACTACGCAGAGTCATGGATTGGTATTTTATTGTTTTATTTTATAAACTGTAGGTGCCATTGAAGGTGATAGTGGTTCGTATTATCTAAAAACAGTGGTGATTAGATCAGTGTTACAACAGCCATCTATTTTTATTTCAGATGGTTTCATACCAATATCTCGGGCATCGATGCAGAGATTCTCCTACTGAATCGTGGATTCGATGGCAGTTTCCTTGCTCGACCGAGTCGGAGTAACCCTGGGGATTTTACGTTGTCTGTCAGGTAAGGATTTTTTTTTTTTTTGGATATCCACATTTTCTTATCACTTTGTCACTAGTCAACCACGGACGTAATTATGTCACAGGCCTGGACATGTAATATTTTTGTTGTTTTTTTAGCAATGACATTTGAAAGAAAACTGGTTTTTGAACACAGTATACATTCAGTTTTAAAGATACGAGGTGCGATCGGAAGGTTTCCAGACTGCGCGTATAAAAACCCGTACACTTATCTCAGGTATTAAATTCATCCATCACCCTCGAAGTAGTTCCCCTGGGAGTGAACACAACGATCCCAGCGCCGCTGCCAAGCCTGGAAGCATCCCTGGAAATCTTTCTTTGTCAGCCTGTCAAGCACCATCTGCGATTCTGCCTGAAT